GCTGAGCCCAATGATCCTACCCAAGCTGGACACCTATACTATATCAACTAGGATTGGACTCAAAACCAAACAAAGGCGAACGGGTCAACCGCAAAACAACTAAGTCTGGTAATACTCAGTGGAGCCAACGTATCTCCAATCATTTTTGGTTCAAAGCTAGGACCCACGTCTCTTATCACTTTCTGGTGCACGGCTGAAAACGCGGCAAGCTGACCAAAACAATCGCCCGCCTGGGGACCCTTGAAGCACGCGGCCTGACTTGAGCAGGCAAAACTGACGTGGTTTGTTGGTTGGGACGCGGAAGGAAAACAAAACAAAAAAAACATTCTGCAGGAAGCAGGGGTTCAAATCCCGCCACCCATTAAAAAACCAACCACTACGGGGTGCCTGATTCTAGCCTGTTTGCCTTCCATGTTTGTTTCAGTAACGGTCACGATTAACATCACTTACTGTAGGGTGACATTGGCAAAAGCATTGGGAAGTGGGGGGGGGGTTCGGGCAACGAAACTCACTCAATTTCCAATTGGGTGGGTGGGAGCTGACCGGCATATGCTAATTTGGTGACAAACGCAATTCACGTCAAGCTTGTACCTACCCAACCTACTTCAGATCAAGCACTTTGGCAGCTTGTCTCATCGTGGTTGACGCACCGCGCATGCTTTTCAACTCCTCCCCCTTCTGAAAGTGCGTACTGCATCTGCGAACCCGCATGCGCGCGCCAGGATTTTAGCCCCCCCAGACATGGAGCATTGCGCTGCGCTGTTTGCCTTTTCCACGTCCAAGAAAAGCAGCCGGACAAATCAAATTGCTCCGCAAACGGCAGAGAGGCGCAGCAAAGAGCGCAGCGTTGACTTTGCCCAAGGAATGGTCTCTAGAGCCTCACGGATAACCTGTGTTCTCAAGCCCAAGCCACCAACACAAGAGGCCTAAGTGCCGCGGTCACGACTTTTGCTCCCTAGCGCATACAGGGGCCCGGGAGCCCCATTAGCCCCGTAGAAAGTATCTGAACAATTAGAACAAGGTGAAAGGGTCAGCGTGGGCAACTTTGGCCAAACGGTAACTCAACGCCTTAAAGTCTGAGAATGGATCAAACATGTGAACACGATGCTTTGGGCAAATGGGCCCGAAAGAGGGAGCACGGGTCATAGAATCCTGGATTTCCCCGCGTGCGCTCCCTCGTATGCATGGTTTTGACCCCCAATGCTTTGGGGTTTACGATTGAAATCCTTCAATCCCGCACAAGTTGTTTTGTGGCGTAGACCGTCAGCTTCTTGTGCCCAGCAACAAATGCACATGCGCACAGAAACAACCACGAAAAAGCAGCCGCATGGATGCTGGATGTGTCTTTCTAAAGGAAACTCACCGGGACCACCGTTGGTTCCGTGGTGCTTTTTTGCAGGGTGGGGGTTCCCAAGACCAAGCGGCAACGCCCCCCCCCCCAAAAAAAAAGCGCCTTGGATGCCAAGAGCAGAACCACCTGAAGCCACGAAAGGCCCCCTTCGGTTCACGGACATGGGCGAGAAGCGATCAAGCGTTTTGGATATGTGGTTGGGCGCCAACCCATTTTAGTTTCGCAGGGAAGTCTAAGCTTGCCGAATAATTTTTGCATCTGGTTTGTTTATGATCATATGGTAGGCAGCGTTGACCTTGACGTCCATCTCCGGCTCCGCGTCTATTGGAGCGTGGACTTGGATTTGAAGGGTTTAGTCCCCCCTTCCCCGCAAGCCACGATGACTTTGAAGGGTTAGTATGACCAGGTCCTCCAGCAGACAGGTTTGAATAAGGGTACCCTTTCTTCTGTAGTCTAATTTAGTAGGGGAACCCTCCCGCAAAAAAGTGTAAAAGGGCACTACTGAAAAACCAAGTGTAATCGAATGGGTTGCTCTTCCCCATTGAGCAAAACAGGCTAATCTTTGGAGGCAAACAATTCCGAAGAGCGCTCTACGCCATCCCGTCACACCAAACAGATCGCCATGAAAACCGGAAAGGAGTCGTTCCATCTACCCTCCCAATATGTCAGGCCCACTGTGTGATCTCATAAGAAAAACCTGAGCCCTCAGATCCCCCGCTAAAAGTGACTAACTCTTAGTGGCTTGAATAGAAAAACTACCCCAAAAGGCTGAAAGGCTAAGGAGCCAAATGCCAGGGAGCCACCAAGGCATTCCGCGGATTCGATTTCCCGCCTGTTCGGAACGGCTGCCCTTCGGCCCCCAAAGCTTCGAGAAGTCAAGCCACCGAGAGCTGCACTTTTGGGGGACCCGGGGCCCTGCGAAATGGAAGGCGTTTGTTTCCTGCGGTTTTCCTGGTGGTTTCAACCTCCAAACTTGGCGGTCAAGAATAGGGTAACCCCAAAATGGTAAGCGCCCATTCGGTGGAAACATGGACTGTCTTCCTCCAATTCCTGGTGGTTTGAGATTGACCATACACTGATACCCATTTCCACTCATTCGTCTCATGGCAAAATCTCGCGCGACTGCGCCACCCAAGTCAAAGACCTCCAGTCACCATGGGGCAAAAACAATAACTGAGTGGCACTCACGCGAGTTTTTTCGGGGGAAACCAGGGCGGGACATGGAATCCACTGCTGTACAACCAAATTCCAAAGACTAACCCTCCCCCCAGGAAAAACACAAAAAACAAAAGTATCACTGTGGTTGGAAATGCCCCTTGATCCCACAATGGGGGAAACCCAAGCTGAAAACATCGCATCCGGTACCAAAATGGCGCAGCCACACTGGCTGCGCCTATTTAGGATTCGAACACAAAAAAAGGAACAACCCGTTGGGGGTCCTTTTGCAATTTGCAGTCGGTCTCGCCCCGCCAAAAACGTCTGCGCAGCTTCGCCTGGATCATCGCTTCGCCATAGCTTTGAAACCAAAGGCTCAAAGGATCGCAGCGAGCTGAAACAACTCCAAGTGAGTCGCAATCAAAACCTGGTACAAAAATGATCCGCCCAGAACCATGCTTCAAGAACTAAGAAGGCGGAATTCCGCAGCTATTTATGGCTGGGTTCGTCCCTTACTAACCTTCACTGGGTGTTGAGCACGTGGCTCAAGTGGTTCCTTGGGAAGAAGCCCCAGGGAGTGGGGGACGCACTGGTTTTGCTGAAACAACAACTCCAAGTTGTTCCTTGGGAAGGTCCAGGGAGTAAAAAACACCTAGGTCTGTTGGTTTTGAACGACAGCACTGGTTTCAGGTTGGATTTCGTCCAGAGACGTTCTAGTTCAAAGGAACGCCCACGGCCTAAAAAGCTGTTGAAATAGAACGCCCTTGCCCGCACGGTTTGCTTGGCTCGTGCTTCCGTCAGTGTTCACGGAGCCGCTAGAAAAAAGCTCAGCCCAAAACCCAGTTCAGCCACGAGATGGTGTAAAGCTAGTAAAAGTGGCTTTCTAACCACATGGGCGCCCCTTTTTTTTCTGGTTTTAAAGGCAATCAAAAGGATAACCACCATTTCAGGGGAGTCCCCTAAGAATAGCACACCCTACTGTACCCTCTGTCCAACAATGGAAGTGGACAGCGGGCCTGTTCAAGAGGATTGTAGCCTTCCCCAAGCCCTCATGTCAGCTTCCATTGGAGGGATGGGATACTGTAGACCCTGTCCATCGGTGCGGGCGCATGCGGATCCTGGTCCGTGTCCCGAATCTCCGAGCCAAATGGCTCTCTGGGCGGGCGAAAGTTCTGAACCCTTCGCCCCTTCGCCAAACTGGGGAACGTGTGGATGGGCGAAATCCATTTCGCACCACCGAAGAAGCCCAACGGAATGATGGATTTCTCCCGTACTCACTTGCTGATTGGATGGCCCCCCCCAAAACAAAACCTTTATATTTACCACTAAAATGGTCTTCCCAAAAAGTTTAAAGTTCATGAACTCAGGAAGTGAGCGTAAATACCAGCAGACAATGGTTTCCTACGGTTTCAGAGTGGTGCGAAATGGATTTCGTCCATCCACAGTATTGGGGGGGTCAGCTGCGCAAAAGGACCCCAACATGAGCAGTTAATCTTTGCACGTCCTCCCTTGGGTGTGAAAACACGAAGGATTACATTATGGCCATGGGTCAAAATCCAAATCGTACCCCCAGTGAACATCCAAATCCAACCACTAAAATTGACTAAAATGAGTGGGGTGCACCTACCCCAAGATGGTACCATAGGTTTGACCCACAGCCATAGGGCTATGGATCTCAAAGGTCACCACCTCAAAAGTGGTGGACATGAACACCCACCTACATTAAGTCCACCCAAGGGCCCCTTCGAATTCGTGCCTATGTGCCTAAATGCCATGGCCCCAACTGCTTCCTGCGGGCCATAGTTGGCTCCCGGCAAACAAAGAAGCCGGGACTCGCAAGGGATGGGCTGAGATACTCATGGCGAACTCATCAAGTCTTCTCGGCTCCCAGAAATCTTCCAGCCTTCCCGTCCCCGCCACACGCGTCCGCGTGATGTCTCTGATCTTGCAAATTCACACTACACCAAAAAGCGGGGTGCTCCCGAAGCAACCTCCTCCCAAAATGGAGACTTCGTAAGCTCTGCATGTGGCCATGGGTCAAAATCCCACACCCCCACCGAACATCCCAATCCCCACTAAAATAGGTTCTACAATGCAATGAATTCACTTACCAGCCAACATGGTACCCCAAGACGGTTGTGACAAAGCTCACCCTAACGGAACTCTCACGCCACTCCGAACCTCTCCGCACCTATCTGGGCACTTTCGGCTGAGGAATAGCTACCCAAACAGAACTGCACACTGCACCCCGCTCCCGCCCCCAAATGGGCCGTGGGTCAAATATACCCAAAATGGAAACCTGGCAAATGGAAACATGTGCTAAAACTTGCGATCTAGTGGTTTAATTTTGACCCACAAGTGAACTGCACGTGGGCGACCTGCTGAAAAAGAAAAAACAGATGGCCTGGTAAATGGAAAAAAAAACCGTTCAAACCAGCGCCAGCTATTCCTAAGCAAACTACCCTAAGGACACCTATTGCGGCTTCGGTCTTTTGACTATGGCACTGACTCGGATCTGGTGAACCTTCTGCTTCTCCTGGCCCATGCTTCGTGGAGTCCCCTTTCGCAGAGAAACCCGGCGGAGGGACCAGAACTCATTTTGGTCCTGCCGCGAGTTGGCCATGGGCCAGTGAACATCCCAATCCAACCACTAAAATAGACTAAAATGGGTGGTGCACCTACCCCAAAATGGTACGATTGGTTTTGACCCACGGCCATTTGTTCGTATGAGGGGACATATAGGCCATATACAAGCGCGAAGTCAGATCGGGTTTAAGCGCAGCCCGATGACCAAACGCCAAAGGGACACATAGGCCCCCATACGACTGGACCCTTATACACTGCAAACTCAGCTTGTCACAAGCTCTGTGGCTCTTGATGCTTGCTTTAACTTTAGCCACAGCCGGCACTGACAAGCATCTGCAAGAAGGGCATCAGCAGGTACTGTATGTTGTTGACTGCTGCCAACCCGAAATGGGCTACATCATTCTACATCACGCCACCTCAAAAGCCTGCGGTTGCATCATGTCGTGGCCAAGTGCTCGCGTTGCTTGACAAAAACACTGCAAGGCAAACCCTTGGAACTCGCAAATCCCAGGAACACCGTCGTTTGTCATTCAATTGGCTGGTTGGATCTTATGCTTGATGACATGTGTGCATCATTTCTGGGACCCGCTAACAACTCCACCCCCTCCCTCCCCAGGGGTCAGGGGCTCAATCAGCCAGGCAAAACACTTGCCATCTTCACCTTGCGATTGGGCAAGAACAAGTTCAACCTGGTTCCTCACCACTGAAAACAGTCCAAGCCCAGCAAGCCACGCAACACAGAAACTTGGATGTTCGGCCAAGTTCGTAAGTGGCTAGCCAACCCACTACTTACCCCTTAAAACTCCAAGCCCTTGGGAAGTTAATCTTTTACAGACATATAGCCCATGTTACCCAAAAAGTGGAGAAAAGTTGTGTTTTTAAGAGGTAAGTAACAGGGCAATATTGAGGAACTTCAAGTCTAAAGATCCAACTGCCATCAAGCTTGGATGAACTCCCGCACCACCGAAGAAACCCTGGAATGATTCGATTCACCCGTGAATATCCACAAACATTGGGTTCCCACGGTTTCACTTCCTTGCCCAAAAGGACCCGCAAATAAAGGGTTGACCTTTTGGAACCTTTACTCAAAATTGCAACAATTGGAAAACCAAAAGGTTACACAAACAAAAAACACACTCGAGGTGGCGTGAAATGGATTTCGCGCCCATCCACAGTAGCTGACTTCTTGAGTGGGCCCCACAAAAGTCCAACCATGTCCAAACTGTTTCTCTACGAGCCCAAAAAGTGGACATGTCCCACTGTTTCTTTCTCCGAGCCCCTGTTTTTCCATTCCAAAAAGGTCAAGCCCAACAAGTGACCAAAGGTCACCGATGACCTCAGGCGCGACAACGCGACCCTCAAAGGCCTCGGGGCTCGATGCACCCCGCCTGGTGGGCCCTGGCGAGTCCTCCCAGGCGCAAGCCTTCAGCAGGTCCTGCCGCACTGGCCTCGGATCGAGTCGGGGGTCGGATGGCGAAGGTGCGGTGGGGGGGGATGCGAAGCCCTACTTGGTTGTGGGTCAAAACCAATGGGATCCCATTTTGGGGTAGGTGCACCACCCATTTTCGAACCTATTTTAGTGGGGATTGGGATGTTCATTGGGGGTAGCTTTTGACCTCTTGCCACTTGAGTCATACCGGCACCCTCACTCCCACTTTGCCATGGCACCTGACAAAGGGTCCATTGAAGAGAAAAATAATCTTCCAGGTACCCTCCCACAGGTTCTATGTTAGTATGGTCTACGACCATGTAAAGAGCTAAGAAGGCGGTGGTTGCCGTTTTGGGGGATTCGAAGCCGCCCACTTTCTGGAGGAAAAATGATGAACGACATGTGGGATCCCCTGGTTTTAGTGGGGGATGCGTTGCCCCACTTGGAGGAAAAGTGAGAATTCACCCAACTTCTGAACGAAGCCAAAGGAATATAGTTGGAACCCGCTGTTGGGACTTTTGGGGCCAAATCATGCCAACTCCCTAAACCCTAAACCGCAAACCTCTAAGCCAAACCTAAAGAACCCTAAACCTAAAACCTCAAACCTAAAACCGCAAAGCTCTAAGCTTAAACTCTAAGGCCCAAGTCCCGTGGGGCGGAATGCATGGATTGGGTTAGTATGTTAGATATTCTGGGTGTGGGCGCATTAAAACCACAGATGTTTATGACTTGTTTGTATGCTAGTAAATATTTAGCCCCTTGTAGAGCCAGGCTTGGCCGTTTCACATCTTGGAAAATAAAGGGACCTCATCCACCTTCGTGTTTCTACTGCCAACCTCTTGTTGAGACATGCTCAAACAAGCATTATTATTCATCGATTGCACAAACTCCTTGAAGTTTCCATTTCGAGGAGACTACCAAAGATTAGGCGCCCCCTTGGTTTGCACCACAAGAGAAACTAAAAGGACACCCAAGCGTGATTTAATAGGAAACTGCGATTCCTGTCTCCTCCAATCATACGCCTGAACCTGTTTGGCCTTCAAAGTCAATGAATGCAAGCGCGAGGATTTCTCCGGAAATTGGATGGATACACCAAACACAACTCATTCTGACTGCTGTTTGTTTAGTGGCTTTGGGGAAAACGACAGAGTCTCTGAGTGTCTTGTCTGTTGAACGTGAACTCCTGGTGTGGATCTCAGAATCCTGGGCTGCTTCAAGAACCTGGGACTCTACACTGAGTTGTCCTCAGATCCCCCGCTACAAGTTTAGCTTCTGGTGGAATCAATCGAAACTAGCACTAAACACTGAAAGGCTAAGAAGCTAAGGAACCGGATGGCTGGGAGCCACCAAGTACATGGATTGCCCCCCAAAACGAGGCTCGCAGCACAAGCCGAGCGGCAGCTTGACAGGCGTCGGAACGTCCGGCACCACATCGGCGCGCTCAAAGAGCTGAGCAAAAGCCTCGCTAGGCAATTGAATTGGAAATTGGAGACTATAGCAAATAACCGGGGAAAACCACAACTTACTATTCCTGGCAACCAAAAGCTGTGGATGCATAACATCCTGCACCAGTTAGGATGGATGGAACCCACTGCAATCAACCATCGACCAACTGTTGCAGGATGTTGTCCGCCTACAAATACCAAAATTGAGCTTGCCTTTCATTGGGGATTGGATTGGTGGTTTGGAGGTGTTTCGGAGCGTTTTCCATTTACCCACTGCAACAGTTCAAATCCAAGCCACCCATCCAAACCACCAAAAAGTTACGTGAGAACTGGCATTGTCACAAAATATGTGTATGCATTTTAGTTAGGGGCCCTTTGATGGTGGACATCATGTAGGTGGACATAAATGTATGTCCACCAACCACTTTTCAGGGGGTTCCAACCATTTAAAATCCATAGCCATATGTCGAAACCCCAAAACAAGTCGGAAGTCGGTGGTGTCCATTTGGCTTCTTCAAGGCGAATAACTTGTTGGTGGTTTAGTACGGAAAATCCAACTTGATTTTCCAAAAAGTTAAAGTCTAAAGATCCAACCCAATAGCAGTCAAGTCATCACCGAGATCTTTGGAACCCCTACGTTTTTGGGACCAGACATCGCTCGATTTCAAACTCACCTCTAAGTTGCCGGGTTGTAAGGTCGCAGCCTGCCCTAACCCAAAAAACATCCGGTTAGAGAAACAAGCACGTGGAAGAAACAAAGCATCTACCCTGTTTTAGAAAGTGATTTGATTAGTGACTCCAACTCCTATGTCTCTCCCAAACGGACTACAGACCTACCTGACTTCCTACAATTCCTTTCCTAAGCGGCATAAAGTCTAAGAACCTGGGAGGCTTGTTGCTTCTGGCTTGCTTTCTGCGAAGCCCTGCTAAAAGTGTTTTGCTTTTAGTGGCTCCATACGGAAAACCGATTCATTCGTTGGCAAACAAGTGAAAGTCCGATGGAAAGCCCATTCGTTAGCAAACAGTTGAAGTCCTAACATCCAAGCAACATGCAGCAAAGTAACCCCAGATCCAAGTAGAACCCCGGTGGATGGTTGCGAAATCCAAAAATCGCACCACGAAATGGAACCGTGTTGAATCGCATCAGGGGAACCATGCGATCCAAAGGCTTCGAAAATCCAAAGCTTGGTTGCTGTTGACCCCCCTGCAAAAAGTGAATAACTGTTTGAAAGGTTTAGTACGGAAAACACAACTCTATTTTTCTCCCAAACAGCTCAAGTCCAAAGATCCGCAACCCAACAGCAGTCAAGTCATCACCGAGATCTTCGGAACCCCTCTACACTCGGCGGCGAAAGTCAGTGACGACAGCTTACACAAGCAAACCTGCATGAGACAAAGAAGTCAGTGCAAAACTTGCCAAATCCCACTGTGACGCAATATGTCAAGATGTAAAAGGTTCTTTGAGCCAGGTGGGGTCGGGAAGAAAATATGTGCATGGATTAACTGAGCAAATCTCAATTAGAAAAGGATCTGACACTTCTCAAAGAGAGACTCAAGCATCACAGCGACAGTGCACCTGGTTTCTCGAGTCCTCGTGTCTGACTATTGCAGCTTGCATCCTGACTGGACTGCTAACGATGATAGGGTCGGAGCTTTGCCCAGGCCAATGCGGACAAATGTGAGGTTTTCGATCTCTGGCGACGTGCTCTTCGAAGGAGGTGTTCCAGAAGTTAGTCCTTATAACCATGCGAGTCAGGAGGTGTTCATGATTCGCGGAGACCTCTTGGATATCATCATTCGGCGGTGTGCGTCAAATATTCTGCACTGCGTGCACAAGTTTTTCATCGCTGCCTCTTCGCTTTCTCCTGAAGGTGCTTATAGTTTCTATGTCCAACTGTCAAACGGCACGATCCGGCAGCACAGAGGTCAACTGGATGCTGGCCTCACGGGGGCGGAAGTCACCATTTCTAGCGTTTTATTAGGATGGACCAATGCTCAAGTGACTGGTGGCGGGTGTGGCCGGCATATTTACAATGGGATGACGTGTTCGGGGAGAAGAACCGGAAGCGGAAGCGCTCAGCCGAGATTGAACGCAGCATGGAGGTCATGCGGGAAGCTCGAAGATTCTGTGATGCTACTGTAACGTGCGAGGGGAAAACCTTTCAAGTCCACCGAGCTGTTCTAGCTGCAAGGTCAACAGCCATCGCTGCGATGTTCTCTTGTGAAGGTACGCGCGAAGCAGCCCAACAAATGGTCAGTATTGAGACTGCGAATGCGGCCACGCTTGAAATCTTCCTTAAGTACTTCTACGTGAGCATGGTTCCGCCTCAATGCAACCTTTCTGTGCTTCTGCGGTTTGCGGATCAGTATGGAGTGGAGAGTTTGGCCGCGGAACGCGCGTCACAGAAGCGATAACTATGTCACGGAAGCAATGAACAGAAGCGATGAACTAGATGAACTGTCACAGAAGCGACAAACATTGTCATCACAGAAACACACAGAAATGAACAACGTGTCCTCTCACTCGGGCCGTTTCAAGTTCCCCACGCCCCTCCTTGCATCAATCGCCAGAGCCAGAGGCAAGAGCCAGAGCCAGCCAAAGCCACTCTCGCTTTGGCCTTGTGAGTCAGAGGCTCTGGCTGGCGTCTGGCTCTAACTCTGGCTCCAGCTCTGCTCTGCCTCTGTTAGCTTGGCTATAGGTCTGGCTCTGGGTCTGGCTCTGGCTCTGGCCCTGGCTCTGGCTCTGCTGCTTCTGCCTCTGGCTTGATCGAGCTAGCATCAAGCGGCGTTGCTCAGCACCTGATATTGCTGCTACTGGTGCTTGCTCAACACCTCCTACTATCTGTGCTTGCTCAGCACAGCCTACTATCTGTGCTTGCTCAGCACAGCCTACTGGCGCTTGCTCTATCGGTGCTTGCTCGTCCCACCCTGCCCCCTCCCAGAAGGCTCGTGCGTGATTTTGCTCGAACGGTCGCTGGTCGCTGCTCAGCCCTTCTGCCTGACAGGGAGCGATAGTTTGCGATCATTCACGCATGCTCGTGCAAGCTCACGCTGAATCTTGTCAGAAACATGTTGCAAGCGCGTCGAAAAACGGAAGTCAAGTCTACCGCTTTCATCGGATTCTTTGCCTAGAAAAGCAGAAACGCAAACGGCTTGTGTGGTGTACGAGCTAGAGCTGGGCGCGGGGCAATGTCAGATTTCCTGATTCCTGCCTACCGGGTAGCTGCGCATGCCAATCAAAAGACTCGCGACGCGAACCTCGCCTGGACCTCTGGCTTCGTGCTCTGCGATGTGGCCTCCCGGAGAATCTGAACCTGAACTGTCAGCTTCGCGATCTCCTTGGTCTGCTCCTGCAACATGTTGCTGTTCACCACGGCCTGCTCACGATACCTGACGGAGCAAACCAACAAGCTGATGATGTTGCTGCTCCACACTCGCGCCTCTCCACCTTGTCTGACACTTGTTGCTCTCGGCTTTGAGCTCGGCCTCCAACCTGCAATTGTCGCTGCCTGACTAAATCAAAGGCAAAAGGCAAGGAAAATCTCCAGCCTGCGTCACCTGCCTGCTCAGTCTTTCGTGGAAGCCACGCCATCAAAATGCTCTGCGGTCAGCAAAACCTGCGGCGTCCTACCTGTTTCGTCCTGGAGGACCGTTTTTAAGCACTAATTTGGACGCGCGATGCGTAAATGCCACTGTGACGCAGTATGTCAAGAAGTCCGGTTTAAAGCGCTAATTTGGACGTACGATGTGTAAATCCCACTGTGACGTAGCGTGTCAAGACGTCTGGTTTAAAGCGCTGATTTGGACGTATGATGTGTAAATCCCACTGTGAAAGGGGACGCCGCATGACACGCGCAGTAAAATTTCCAACAGTATAGTTTTCAGCATGTCATGTTTTGAGTTTCGAGCGTTGCTTCAGATCCCATAAACACAAACCCACGGGACGCACTACACGGGAAGTGCTTCTCACAGCTGCCACGCTCCCTGAAGACACTAAGTTGCTTTTCTCTTCAGCAGGGACCCTTACATTATACACCTGGACATTGCCTTGTAAATGGTGGTTTCCCTTTATTCACGTGACACAAACCAGCAAAATTAACGAGGTCAAAACGAGGCCTTAACGAGGTCTAAACGAGGCCGGAACGAGGTCCAGAGACTGGGGGGACAATCCTTACTGGAACAAAGTTGAGCAAGGAGAACCCAACTCCCATGTGATTAGCTGAATTGGCACTCTCAGTCTCTTGGCCAGAGGCAGCGTGCCATTGTGTGTGCGTGACGGGAACGGCCCTGAACATTCAACAGCGCCTTCTAGAGTTCGGTGTAACGCCGCGCTCAACACCGGCACTCTCCAAAAACACTGCCTCCAGTCCGCTTGCAAAGTTCGCTCAAGTCCCAATGGTATTACAACAAGAAGTCTGCTCACACAAAATATTGCCGCATGGAATTCGAGTGCAATGGTAACAATATATATATATATATATATATGTATATATATATATATGTATATATATATATATACAAACATATATATATATATATATGTAAACCCCCGCCAAGACGCAAGCCGCACCGACTTCCTGAATCAATACCCTGCATGGCACACGAAGTTGGACGCGAACGCACCGACTTTCACCGGAGAGTGTACGTTTTTGGGCCCAGACATCGGTTTTCCCGCCTCAAAGGTAATCTCGCCATGGCTGTTGAGCGGGACGTTCGCCTCTTGCCTCAAAGGCGCAGGATGGCGCTGGTTGGCGCAGCGCCGGTGGGTTGGGCGGTTTGGTTAAGAGGGTGAAACACACAAAGAGACCCAGTTGTTCCAGTGACCGCTGGTTGAGGCAGCACAAGCCGTTTGAAGGGGAATCCCTCTTGTGTTTCAGGGCTGGGAATGAAAAAGCCATGTTACAGAAAGAAGAGCAGTTGAAGGAAACATGCTTCCCATGAGAGTCACCGAAAGGCAGACCAGGGGATGGCTTTTGAGGTGGCACAGGATGGATGGACTGACTGAGAGCCACAAGGTGGGTTTTTCTTGATTTTAAGGAAAACCAACAGGAAACCCTCCAGTTTGGGGATTCCCCTATTTTGAGACACACCCATATTGATTCCTTTCCAAATCCCTTTATCTTGTCAACAGCCTTGACATGCGATGAAGGAAGGGGGGGTCATTGTGTACTCGGCCAGTGGGCGTAAACATACTTCTGGCCTTGCTTGTCATTCCTTCCTTCCAAGCAATGCATCACAGAAAGCTCATCAGACTATGTTTAACGTTGATATCTCTAACTTTCGGGTTGAACTAGGTACCGTGGCCATTTCATGTTGGACCAAGAAGGAGAAACAACAAGAGTAAAACCCAAGAAGGGTTCGAGCCTCCAGGAGTCAGCTTGTCACACATCGTGTACCGTGTTCCAATGGGCAACAGGGTCAGTTGGGAGTACCCTTTATAAGGTTGTGCTGTCCAACAGGACACCTTGTTCTTGAAGAGCGGGTCCGTGTTTGGATGCGTTTTCTTGGTTCTTCCTCCAGTGGAGCTTTTACTCGCGTGAAAAGGGGCTTGGGCTCGGCGAAAGTGTCCTGCAAAGCACATAAGCAACTGTGCGCGTTTTAGCCTTTTTAAGTCGTGGGTACGAATCACTAGTCGGGGTATACCCCCTTCTCTTCACCGACCTCGCACAACAAGGAGCAAACGAAACACGCTGGACCCAGCTGCCCAGTGGATTTCCATGAAAAAAAGGCGTCCATTTTTAGTTGGTTGAGTTTAAAGGAATCGGAATTCTAAACCCCAACAGAAGGTTGAAACAAGGGCGCCACTGGGTTGAGTTTAAAGGAATCAGAAACTAAACTGGGTTGAGTTTAAAGGAATCGAAACCTAAACCCCAGGGTAAAAAAGGCTGAATGGCATCCTTGTTTGGTTGGGTTAATAAAGGGGAACCCTAACCCCAGGGTTAAAAAGGTTAAATGGCATCCTTGTTTGGTTGGGATAAAAAAAGGGGAACCCTAAACCCCAGGGTTAAAAAGGTTGAGTGGCATCCTTGTTTGGTTGGGTTAAAAAAGGGGAACCCTAAAACCCCAGGGTTAAAAAGGTTGAATGGCATCCTTGTTTGGTTGGGTTAAAAAAGGGGAACCCTAAACCCCAGGGTTAAACAATCCTAAACCCCAGGGTTAAACAGGTTGAGCGGCATCCTTGTTTGGTTGGGTTAAAGAAGGGGAACCCTAACCCCAGGGTTAAAAAGGTTGAATGGCATCCTTGTTTGGTTGGGTTAAAAAAAGGGGAACCATAAACCCCAGGGTTAAAAAGGTTGAATGGCATCCTTGTTTGGTTGGGTTAGACAAGGGGAACCCTAAACCCCAGGGTTAAAAAGGTTGAATGGCATCCTTGTTTGGTTGGGTTAGACAAGGGGAACCCTAGACCCCAGGGTTAAAAAGGTTGAATGGCATCCTTGTTTGGTTGGGCTAAAGAAGGGGAACCCTAAACCCCAGGGTTAAAATGGTTGAATGGCATCCTTGTTTGGTTGGGTTAAAAAAAGGGGAACCATAAACCCCAGGGGTAAAAGGGTTGAATGGCAGTGCCATTTGCGTGGGGAATTCGGTTTCCCACCAAAAAAGTTAAGGGTAAGGCACCTTGATGAGCATGCTGAAAGGGGTGTGGGGTCATCTAAGCAGGATTGAGTCTTGGCTGCCAAGAGGAAAGGGCTTGAACTGTTTTGCGGGAAAAACCCAACTATGAAACCGCCTCTTCTGTACGAGCAAAATACGTTGTTCTGAGCGAAAATTATTCTCACATTTTGGCAGATTGGGCTTGCAATTGCGGCAATTGCAAGTTTTCACAAAGAAAGCAGTGACCTGCCACAAATCCAGCATGGGCACATTTTTAGGTTTTGGCTACACTACATAATACGGAGCAGAACGTTGAGGCCCCAGGTTCCCCGTGAACCAACTCTGAACAAGCTCCGAACAAACTCCGAACGAACTCCGAACGAACTCCGAACCAACTCCGAACGAACTCCGAACGAACTCCGAGCAAACTCCGGACAAACTCCGAACGAACTCCGAACGAGCTCCGGGCGAACTCGGAACAAACTCCGAACAAGCGAACAAGCTCCGAGCGAACTTTGGCATTGTTCCCGAGCCAACTCCGAACGCACTTTGGCCATAAGTATGTGTTTCAGCCTAAGTATGTTGGCCAAGCGCTGTTTTTTTTGTTTTTTTTCGGGCTTTCCAAAAGAGGCCAAGTGACTACAGGGGCCAGTTTCAAACAAATTATTGATTTTCCTGTTATGTATCTTTCGGGCTGGATTTACTTCCCGGACAAGCGCCAAACAAACTTTGGCCATATGTTTCTTTGGGGAAGCTGACTTTTGTGTTTCGGCATTAAGTTTCAGTTTTTCGGCGTTGTTTTGTTTTTTGCTTGTTTTTTTGTTCCAGGCTGTTGGTTTTGCTTATTATTTTTTCGGGGCTTAATTCTTGAGCCGGACGAACTCCGAAACCAACTCCGACCGAACTTTGGCCTTAAGCTTTGTTTGGAGTTTGTGTTATTTTTTTCCCTCGGTGTTGAACTTTTTGGGTTTTGGTCGTACAAAAACACTGGAATTACAGCTTGTTGATGCGTTTTTTCGTACAAATTCAGTGTTACCAGGGCCAAAAAACATTGAAACATGCTTAATCCAGGTTTTTCATGCAAACAACAGCTATTTCATACGACCAAAATTGGGCAAGCCCCTTCACAAAAGCGAACAAACCCTTAAGTTCAACACCGGTGTTGAACTTAAGCGAGCCTCAGCGCCAACCAACCTGGGTGATCACCCCGTAGCGATTTTAGCCCTCCGCAGCTCAAGTCCTACAAATCCGGCCCTGAACGCCTTCCCAGGCGACTTGTTGAAACTGGCCCCTGTAACCACTTGGCCTCTTTTGGTAAGCCCGAAAAAAGGAAAAAAACAGTTGGACCACCAAAATACTTAGGCTCAAACACATACTTATGGCCAAAGCAAAGTGTGTTCGGAGGTGGCTCGGGGGGTTGTTCGGACATCAACCAATGACAAAGTTCGCTCGGAGCTTGTTCGCTTGTTCGGAGTTTGTTCCGAGCTCGCTCGGAGTTCGTTCGGAGTTCGTTCGGAGTTCGCCCGGAGTTCGTTCGGAGTTCGGAGTTCGGAGTTCGTTCGGAGTTTGTTCGGAGTTTGCTCACGGGGAACCTGGGGCCTCTGAGATAGGCCTTCAAGAAAAACAGTTCTGCTCCGTATTATGTAGTGTGTGGCCAAAACCCAAACTGTGCCCATGCTGGATTTGTTGCAGGTCACTGCTTTCCTTGTGAGCACTTGCAATTGCAAGCCCAGAAGCTAGCCAAAATGCGAGCAGAATTTGGGCAAGAACAATGCACTTTGCTCGCACAGAAGAGGCGGCTTCATAGTTAAATGTCTCCCGAAAAACAGTTCAAGCCCTTTCCTCTTGGCGGCCAAGACTCATTTCTGTTTAGACGACCCCAAACCCCTTTCAGCAGGCGCGTCAAGCTGTCTTACCCCGAAGGCTTGGCGCGCAAAACCGGCCTGGTCCCCTCCCAAAAAAGCAAATTGATTCTTGTTTGGAGGAAACTGGCATCAATAGTACACTTTGAGTTTTGCTGCAAAATTTGTGTTTTTTTCTCATTTTTCAAACTTCTTTTTTAGGACCTTAAAACACCAATATCCCGACCCATGAAATTTGGCAAATGGCATCCTTGTTTGGTTGGGTTAAAAAAAGGAACCCTAAACCCCAGGGATAAAAAGGTTGAATTGCATGCTTGTTTGGTTGGGTGAAAAAAAGGGGAACCCTAAACCCCAGGGTTAAAAAGGTTGAATGGCATCCTTGTTTGGTTGGGTTAAAAAAGGGGAACCCTATATAAACCCCAGGGGTAAAAAGGTGAATGGCATCCTTGTTTGGTTGGGTTAAAAAGGGGGAACCCTATATAAACCCGAGGGGTAAAAAGGTTGAATGGCATCCTTGTTTGGTTGGGTTAAAAAAGGGGAACCCTAAACCCCAGGGTTAAAAAGGTGAAATGGCATGCTTGTTTGGTTGGGTTAAAAAGGGGAATCCTAAACCCCAGGGATAAAAAGGTTGAATGGCATGCTTGTTTGGTTGGGTGAAAAAAAGGGGAACCCTAAACCCCAGGGTTAAAAAGGTTGAATGGCATCTCTGTTTGGTTGGGTTAAAAAAAGGGGAACCCTAAACCCCAGGGTTAAAAAGGTTCAATGGCATCCTTGGTTGGTTGGGATAAAAAAAAAGGAACCCTAAACCCCAGGGTTAAAAAGGTTGAATGGCATCCTTGTTTGGTAGGGATAAAAAAAGGAACCCTAAACCCCACGGATAAAAAGGTTGAATTGCATGCTTGTTTGGTTGGGTGAAAAAAAGGGGAACCCTAAACCCCAGGGTTAAAAAGGTTGAATGGCATCCTTGTTTGGTTGGGTTAAAAAAGGGGAACCCTATATAAACCCCAGGGGTAAAAATGTGAATGGCATCCTTGTTTGGTTGGGTTAAAAAAGGGGAACCCTATATAAACCCGAGGGGTAAAAAGGTTGAATGGCATCCTTGTTTGGTTGGGCTAAAGAAGGGGAACCCTAAACCCCAGGGTTAAAATGGTTGAATGGCATCCTTGTTTGGTTGGGTTAAAAAAAGGGGAACCATAAACCCCAGGGGTAAAAGAGTTGAATGGCGTCCTTGTTTGGTTGGGTTGAAAAGGGAACCCTAAACCCCAGGGTTAAACAGGTTGAATGGCATCCTTGTTTGGTTGGGTTAAAAAAGGGGAACCCTATATAAACCCGAGGGGTAAAAAGGTTGAATGGCATCCTTGTTTGGTTGGGCTAAAGAAGGGGAACCCTAAACCCCAGGGTTAAAATGGTTGAATGGCATCCTTGTTTGGTTGGGTTAAAAAAAGGGGAACCATAAACCCCAGGGGTAAAAGAGTTGAATGGCGTCCTTGTTTGGTTGGGTTGAAAAGGGGAACCCTAAACCCCAGGGTTAAACAGGTTGAATGGCATCCTTGTTTGGTTGGGTTAAAAAAGGGGAACCCTATATAAACCCCAGGGGTAAAAATGTGAATGGCATCCTTGTTTCGTTGGGCTAAAGAAGGGGAACCCTAAACTTTAGGGTTAAAAAGGTTGAATGGCATCCTTGTTTGGTTGGGCTAAAGAAGGGGAACCCTAAACCCCAGGGTTAAAATGGTTGAATGGCATCCTTGTTTGGTTGGGTTAACAAAAAGGGGAACCATAAACCCCAGGGGTAAAAGAGTTGAATGGCGTCCTTGTTTGGTTGGGTTGAAAAGGGGAACCCTAAACCCCAGGGTTAAACAGGTTGAATGGCATCCTTGTTTGGTTGGGTTAAAAAAGGGGAACCCTAAACCCCAGGGCTAAACAGGTTGAAACCAGAGCGGAATCCACTGGGCAACCAAACCGCTGGCCGCCTGGCCGACACTTTCGCGTCCGAGCAGCAGGAACTCTGCTGCTTGGGCTTCATCGCAGAGAGCTCCGACAATGCGCTGCACCTCACGGACCCAGGGCTCCCCGAATGAGGGGGTACTTTGAGCAGCTCTTGGGGCCCGCAACCATTACTGCTTACTGGGGAAGCGGGGGTTCAGTAGTCACCTTTATAACTATGGTTCATTGCAACTTAGGTAAAAACCATGGTGGGTCGGCATCTTTCATAGTGGGGTGGGGTTCTATTTGGGGTAACTGGAGTCAACTCGTCCCCTTTTGGAGCTATGGCTGGACGACATCCAGACATCGCACCACTTGGAGTCCAGGGTTGCAACATTTTTTTTGTTGGTAGATTCCGAAAGAAATAATCATTCCCGGTTTCTTATCCACAGTATGGATGGTGTTCTCCGATTGAAAGCTGGCCCAAAACGGGTACTTACGAAAGTACACCCAGTACAGCTAGCGAAACTCACATAAATTGAGCCGAAAAGGTGATGCTTAAGGCCGTAAGAAAAGGAAACTTTCATAGGGACTCCGTGTACCCTTGGATGTTTGTTACAGTTTGGGTAAAACGGGGTTGAAGTACCCCAGGTACTTGAATTCTCAACCAGGCCGTCGAAAACGATTTTTCCCCTCACCGAATCCGTGCTGAGGAGTCCTACCTTCGGGAGGGGGCAATTCCATTTGTCTAGTCCCCATAGGGACAACTGAACCGTACCATGGTTTTCGAGGGGTCCCCCTCCAATTCCATTTGTCGGTCATTCACCAACTCAAACTGTCTGTGTTTTCAAGACAGGACGTTGGAATCGGACGCAAACCTCGAATCGCTGTGAAAGCCTCAGAAGGATCTAAGGAACAATCTAGTCATGCGTGTTTGGACCACTCCTGATTCTACATTACTGGCTGCTAGACAAAACGCTTTCCAACCGCGCATCAACATTGACAGAACCGACAAGAAACAACTAAAACACATTCCAGGCAGCCTCCTCTTTGCTGATGGCGCCATTGCGGTTGCTGTCGATGCGGTTGAAGATCTTGCGCAAAGACTCACGCCTCAGGGGTCAAAGAACCTCGGAGTTACCATTGCATTCTTGCAGGACCCTGTAAAAAGCAGGGCCCGTTGGCCAATGTTTCAATTGAAGCCAAGAGCAGAATCAAGAAGGACCCTGTCCTGGCCTTGGAAGAAAGACCAAGCACTGTACCAGGTTTTGCGCACCTTGAGCTTGCAAATGGATGTAGTTGTTACCTTGGATTGAAAAGGGACCACGTGGAAACCACCATTTTTGGGTGACCCCCTATTCTGCCACATATCCGAATGGTGGTTTCTCTTTGTTACTTACGCATTGGTTCTCATTGGGTTTCCTCGTAGCAGTTGATTGGGGTGGGTGCTACCCAAAGGTGCCTTCTGCTTTTGGGGAAACTTCCCAAAACCAAGGCACGCCAACGTAAGGTTGGAACTGGTATGCTTGAAAAGCATGCGGAATCGGGACCGATGGGTCTACAATGTTGCTCGAACCACGAAACAAACCACCAAAGCAAATTGCAACCTGGTCGGTCAAACTGCAAAGGGTCAATCACCGTTTGTGGTTTTTCACAAGGGTCATGCAACTGCAAATTCTACAATGCACCCAAACCAACCAATACAAGAACTCAACAAGGCTGATATCTGCCCCTATGGGTGGGAATGTCCATTAACCTTCAACTCGAGTTTTGAGTCTGGTTCACGTGGAGCCCAAAATGAAACCCTGGCAATTCCAAAACTAATCAGGGTTTCCTTTTTAAAGGCCGTAGCATCAAGGTGCGATGAAATAGGCAGAACTCATTTGGTGACTCCAATGCATATATATATATAAGTATGTATATATATATATATAATGTCAACGTCATCTCTTCATCGAACCAACTCCCTGGCTCACTTCGGTCACATCTGTGCGGCCAGTACTAGTACAGATGAGCAAGGGTATCACCTTTCGAAGCCAAAGCAAAGTTGTGCTGCCTACCATGGCTGCAATCCACGTGGGCTTGGTCAGAATTGTGAAGTTTCCCTGAGTTTGTATACTCCGCGCAGTTAGTCTCAGGCCTCGGAATGGTTTTTGGCACGAACCTACCTAAATCAAGCAATGTCGATTCAATAGGTAAATAGTCCCCAATCCAAAGCATCTATAGCGGGAAACACACAAACATGTCTCTGTGTGTGTCAATCGTTGTGTGTGCGGCTTGTTTTGTCGCTCCAAGGCTAGCATTGGTATCCCACGCCAGCCCGGAAGAGGGGCGTGCAAGGATTTTCAATATAACACTTGCAGGTTCCATGGATCGACCAACACAGAAACTGGCATGTTGGACAACATGCCTGGTATGCAGGTTTCTGTTCTTTAATTGAAAAATCATCTATAGGGAAGGTTGTCCATGCGGTAGGGAAGCAAACGCTAGGGTTCCCTTGGCTCCATTCGTTTGTCGGCACCTAGCGATAGCACCTTCCATTTGCATGTTACATTGTTACCCACTTGCCCAAAGCGGATTTCATTTCCCTGTATTGGTCCATAATTTGTCAAGGTCCCCAAAAAGGTCATCACCGTTTATTCCAGGCCCCTAAGGGGCAACTGAGGTTAGGAATGAACGATGTTTCAGCATTGCTGGCAGCATTCTCAGTATCACCGCAATTTATGAGAGTAACACCGCAGAAGTCAGGTGGTATAGGCCTCGATTAGCACAAGTTGATCAGGTGGCTTGCACACCATAGTCATGTCCCTGCTACGGTTTTGCGCGCTCAAGTTACAGGAGATCCGTTGGGTTTCTGACTGTTCCGGCTACTTACCCCTTAAAACTCCAAGCCCTGGGGAAGTTAATCTTTTACAAACATATAGCCCATGTTACCCAAAAAGTTGTGTTTTTAAGAGGTAAGGCTATATAACTGCATGTTGCTTGACACGGAATGTTTTTTGTTTTTTTTTTTTTTCTTGGGAATGGAATACGGAAGGTAGCCCACCGCTGAAGGCAGTCCTGCTTCCAGGATTAGGGGAAGGATCAAAACAAACGGACTCTCGCTTGAAAGAGTCTTCCTTGGTATCACAGAAACTGGCCCCTAAAACCCAACACAACCATGCTTCAAAGTATTGATGTTATGGTGCAACCATCTACTCTAAGTGTGGTGCAACTAGAGTTGAGTGAACTTGTTGTTGCCCTTTCCTCCACCTTGCGCAAACATCATGGCCAACAGAAAGTACACAAACTGCTTGCTGCTTGTTATTTACCACTAACCCCTTCTCCAAACCCCAAAAAGTGGCTCAAGTCCATTACCTCACAGAGTGACACCTAGCTCATTCTTCCGGCCGAACGAACCGCCAGAACTCACCCAGCCCGAAGCCCGAAGCCGTGGCCCCCCAAAGGCCCCCCCCAGGCGGCGCCTCAGCTGGCCCCGCATGCTCACCGTGGCAGCCAAGAAGTCCTTGACGAAAATTCGAAACGACGACACGCACGGCAAACGGGCGAAGAAGCGCGCGGAGTGTTCTGCTCCCAGGAGGATGTCCATGGAAACAAATCCGGCCGGAAACCCTTGTTTTGGTTGCTGGAGTTAACTAAGTGAAACCCCTTTCCCCAACCCCCCCCCCAAACAAAAAAAGAAGAGAAAACGTTGCTTGATGTCAAAGGGAAGCCCTTCCGAACACCAAAGGGAAAAAGGGTGGAATCCATTGGCCACCGGGGTAGCGTTGACTTTGGATTCATCCGGACCCCTGACTTTTTCCCCCATGAATGCCCTAGAGATGAATACATGAGTGAATCCGCATGCAAAGCGGGCACCCATTCGTACGGTCCTCCGGATGAATCCAGAATAACAATCATTGCCCGGCTTGGTCTTCCTTTTTAACCCATCCAAGTAATAACATCCCGTGTTCAAAGAAACTGCATGTGTTGCTTCTTCTAGACAACCTGATTGCACGAAAGACTACGTAATTGGTGTCCTTTGTGATTGTCCCCGTGGTGATAGACCCAAGGCCTGAGCCGAAAGTTCTTGCGTAAACCATCCCCCTACCAAAAAAGAGGGGTGGGGTGGGGGGTCCACTACCAACCATAAAAGGGACAGTGGAACATAATCTTACCCCTTAAAACTCCAAGCCCTGGGGAAGTTAACCTTTTGCAGACATATAGCCCATGTTACCCCAAAAAGTTGAGAAAAGTTTCGTGTTTTTAAGAGGTAAGTCATGGAACCACAAAGGACCAGAGGCCCCGAGTTCATTTCGGATGGCACACCCCCGAACTCTTCCATCCCTTTCCGCTCGAGGGCCACCAGCGAAAGGTGATCGACTGACTGGGAAAGCTCGTTGGGTGTCTATCCCTTTGTCGGTGGCTTTAAAGGGACGCCAAGAGGAAATCCAAATTTTTTTGGGGGGGTCTACAAAAACACACCCATTATGCCATTGGTGTCCAAAAAGGTGCAAGAGGATGAGGTCACACCAAAGACCAGCCGTGTAGTTGGTGGCTTGGCTTCCTTTGGAGGGTAGTGGTTTCCCATTTGCCCTCTTCAAAATGCAGGGAATCCCAAAACCAATCCAAACCACCAACTAAGGGTTGCCCGATACACGCGAACAACGCGCTCATGCAAGTAGATAACACTGAATGCACATGCGACAAGCATGGCACCCTTTTGCAGGGGAATTGAAGTTAACAATTTGGCGTGACGGGCCAAATTGAAACACGAAACCTTGAAAATGACACTTCCAAGAGGCGGAGTAGTGGACCTCCTGATCCCCATTGGCGTCCAGCACGGAGAACAGCTTCTCTACCTAACGGCATGTGCATATGACAAGCTGAGCCCGCGCACGCCTTCCACCCGCCTCTGTTAGGCTGTAAACTTGACGCGCGTTCTGGTCCTACCCCGAACTCCAACCAACCAAAACCAGACATGAGCGCAATCCATTCATCGCGGAACCCAGGCAATGGCAGCCCTAAGCCAGGGCATTGCCCATTGTTGCGGGTACCAAAAGTGGTCCCAGTCCAAGGATGGGGGATGAAGCCCGACACCACAAGGATATACTCTCAGGTATCACGTGGAACCCCTGGGTACTTGCATTGTAGACCCCAAAACTAATGGACTTAAGTAGTGGGACCCCATTTTCATTCAAGGATGATGCGGATGAAGCCCGACACCACAAGGATGCACTTCTGGGTGATTGATGGGGCCTGTTGTGCCTCGAGTCCTGCAACGCGCAAAAAACACCAAAACGACATCTTGAGGGCCTGCAGGGCACTTGATGCCTTCGGATTGATCCGGACATGTCAGGGAGAAAAGTTTATCGTTTTTCTTTTCGCGAGTTGCCAAGTCAGTTGTTTGTTTCTCTAAGTGGGCCTAAACTGGTCGGGTGTCCTTTTGCTTCCTAAACCGGGCTCTGTCATGTTGATCCACTCCAGATTGCACCTCCAGATCTACAATCATTCTAAAAATGAACAAATACTGGATCCAATGGGGTTTTTGCTCGTACGCCAGATTAGTTTCGCTCACAATGCATTACCTCAAAACGCCTTCCAGCGCAAAAATGGTGGAACAACCCCTGTCCCTTGCTCCTTGGAAGGGACGCCAAAAGGGGGCAAGGGTGCTATTTGAAATGTATCTTTCATGGGTAAAGTTAAGTCTGCCCGGGCATGCAAAACAGTGTTTCCCGTGAAGGATGATCATCTACGTTGGGTCCTTGCCATTCTTTCAATGGGGGCAAGGGACCCTGGTTAGGTCCTCCAGTAGAGCGTTTAGAATGGGGGTACACTTTTTTTTCTGTAGTCTATTTTAGTAGGGGAACCCTCCCCCAAAAAAGGGTGAGAAAGGGCACTACTGGGGGACCTAGTAAACTTGACGCGCTTCTGGTCCTACCCCGAACTGCAACCAACCAAGACCAGACATGAGCGCAATCCATTCATCGCGGAACCGAGGCAATGGCAGCCCTAAGCCAGGGCATTGCCCATAGTTGCGGGTACCTCCCCCCAAAGAAACGGTAAAAGTTGGCACCAAGCTGGACCGAAAAGAAACGAATGCAGAGCCGAATGGCAACCGCAAGCCTGCTTCTCCGAGAGGTTGGTGGGGCTCAGGTTCGGCGAGGTGCACCTGGAAGACGATACTTGGGAACCACGTCCACTGGACAAAGGGCTTAGGGCTTTGGGTTTGGCGGGAAAAAAAACAAACAACACAAACCAACATGGGTTGGGGTGTTCAAAAAAACAAAGGGCTACTTCTGTTGGAAAAAGGGTTTGGGGTTTGGGTTTGGGACAAGTCCCCCCAGTTTCTCGAGCTAAAGATAGCTCAAGGTTCCAGATCCAACCTGATAGCAACCAAGGTAACAATCACTTTATGGGGGAACATTAGGCCCCACCCGTCCCGGAAAACTTCTATCAACCCTTCTAATAAGGCATCCCCCTCCAAGAAGTTTCTCAAAACCCCTTCTTGTGTTGTGGGGCCCTAGATTTGTCTTCTGCAGTTAGAATACCCAAGCCATAGGCACAGTTGCCACACGTTTGGACATGTCAACCTGGGAATGGGTGGGAATGCCACAATTTGGGCAAGCCACGCGCCAACTGATCGATATTCGCCATAGTCAACTTGGTGAACTAAGAATGAGTGCTCTCCCCAAAAAGTGAAGGGATCCCTCTGAATGGGAAATTGCTGTGAATCGACCAGGTTGTACATGGGTTCGGGCATCCGTAGTGTTCCTTTCTTGTCGTGCGCCATATCGCCCTATCGCTCCACGCAAGCGAAGCTAAGCCGCCGATGAAAGGCTACATCTTGGTGGATGATTCATTTGGGTATGGCTCAAGATTGAAAAGCTGGGGTTACACGGGTTTTAGTGTTTGGTTCCATTTACCAAGGTGCCATTTTGGTACCACTTTTTTGAGCCACAGCCATTTCTTGTGGTTGGATCCCTCCAAGTAACAACCTGGACCGTCGCTCGTTTTATTGCCGGATCGGACTCGTCCAGTCCTGCGCTGCTGGAACATGCCGCGGTTGTCCTGGCTGCGCGACACACAGTGGCCGCGGCTTGGTTGCTCTTGACCCCCCTGCAAAAAGTGAGCTTCACTTTTGGGGGGTTTAGTGGAAAACATATTTATTTCAACCAAAAAGTTAAAGTCTAAAGATCCGCTACAATGGCATATTTCAGGCACATCCGGATCTAATACACCTGGGAGAGTCTACTTCCGCGGATTGGCCAGCAGCTGGAACTTTTTGCTTGCAATGGTCTTCCCAAGTGAGCCAAGGAGAACGGGGACCCCAGGTTTTTTCTCTGGGGGTTTCAGATGGGACCCCAAAATACAAGCTGAACCTTTTGGGACCTTTACCAAACAAAAAGAAAAATGGAAAGCCAACAGACGTTGGCAGGGTCGATTCGCTCAAAAAGCGCGAGTCTGGTTTCTTTTTTGTCCGCTCCTGTGAAGCCCGGCGCTGCATCGCAGCCTGCAAGGTGCGAGCATATCTCGAGCATATCACGCCGGTCTTTGACAGGATAAAACGCGAAACAATGAATAAAGCCCCTCCAAAAAAGGGATTTCTCCCGACAAATCGGGGTGTCGTGATTCACCCCTTGGTGATTTGAGAGGTGATGTAGGAGGTGGTTGTCCACATCTTTCTCTAGGGGTTCAATCCCCCAACCCTCAATCCAGACCGCAAATTGAGGAGAGCCAAGCCAGGAATGCCAGACTTTCCGGAAGGGTTCGCTGGAGGGGTAGGATTCCAAACACTCCTGTGGGCCAAAGGCCTGAATGAGTCGTGCGAGCCGCATCGGTGCCCTGCTCTTGTGGTTTGAAGGAAAACCGAGAGGAAACCACGAGGACAACCACCATCTTGGACATTGTGTTGTAACTCTCACTGACAAAGATCAGAAATTTGGGGCTGTTGCCCTTCCACTGTTGGCTGGAATTTTGATGTGCGTGCCCCGAATCAAAACTGGCCATAGACAAAACCATGTCTGGGCAAATTATAAAATGTCACCCACCGGAAACAAGGAACCCCTATGAAAAGAAGCTGCACTGTGGGTGACATCGCAAACCCCCCAAGACATATAATGTCGCTGGAATTGGCCCAAGTAGATGTTCACCCAGCCGAATGTTGCTGTCCAAAGGATTGACCTCAATTTGCATTTTGGACCACTGGGGGACGCGTCGCCGCATAAACCTTTGCTTGGCGCGTCCCCCCCCCCCCCCAAATTTGGGGCAATCCACTAACAACCCGAAAAACGAAAGCATGTTTTTCGTTTTTTCCAGTGATTCCAAGGACCTACATCTACATGGTGGCAACTGTGGCAACCTTGAAACATCGAAAAGGAAAATGGCTGGTTACCTGGCGGCATGTGGGATCTGGAAGGGTTCGAAGCCTCCAACACTGCCTATGGCTTGCCAACTGCTGAGCTGAGTCCGACTCTGAGAAGCCGAAAGTTATATGTTTCAGTGCTTCACTTCCTGAGTGGGTTGGCCAGAAAAGTCTGAGCTGTTGCAAAATGGTCCAACCCCAAAGCGGATGAAGTCCAGTAACTCAGGAAGGGAGTTCTCTTCCTGTTTAGTGCAGGGCTGCAAGCTGGGGGTTAAGAAGGACTTCTGATTGGTAAGGGATGTCAATTTGTGTCAATCGAACTCATCCTGTTTCGCTGTGAATCTTCCACGCCAACCGAAACATGGGGCAGTCCCCCCCCCCACTTGATGTTTTTTCCAGACTTGGGTGCCTGATGGAGAGCAGGCATCAAGCGATGGAACAACAGTTAGTGAGTACAGTAAGTGGTAGGTAGCGAATCTTACGTGTTTATCCACACGTCATTATGAACAATTGCCACACAAGTATGACTTTCCAACATGAAACTCCAAACTGGTCCACCTTGGTGTGTCTTTCGAGGTTACACTTACACCCTTTTGCCTGCGATTCAAGGAAAAACCAACAATACAAACCATCTTTATTTTCGTTGTTTTTTCAGTTCTTTGTATTTTTTTCTTGGGGGGGGTGAGGGGGTGGGGCGCCATTTTTTGACGCTCCCAACATTTTTTTGCGGCGCCTTGAGGTCGCACAAGCGGATGGTGCCCCGCTCATCCTCAGCCGCAGGTTACATCCCCCCCTAACGGGGAGGGGGGGGGTG